ATTAAGTCTCGGTGCGCAGGTCTCGTGTAGAATCTTCCCTTGTAGGATTCCTCTTCACGAACAGCTCACCTCAGCGCCGCAGCACGAACAACCTCCTTGAAGCTGGACTGTGGCAGATCTTCCAGACTATCTCTCGAGGAGGATGAGATGGTCGTGTGGGCAACCGTTCAGATGAAGAATGTCTGCCTCTTGGGGTTTGTTTCTGATGATCTGTTCACCTTGGAGGCACAAGAGGAGAAAACTATGAATATATACGTTTAGGTCTTAGACATAACTCAACCCTAAGCCTCATGGGCTCAAGTTTCACTGAAGCCCAATAGGACTTTAGTGACCAAAAGAGCATATATCCAACACTTTGAGTATAGGAAAATAGATACAATAATTGTATCTCAATACTCAACGATTTATCAAGATTTTTTTTGGGGTGATATAAGTTATTAGAATTTTGACAATGTTAATTTCAAATAAGAATCCTATACTTGAGAGCCTATGTCCATTTGTACCAAAAAACCAGTTTTATATCAAAATAAATTGATATTCACATATTTGTTTTTAGACTTCTTTACTGGTGCATTAATTAATCGATTCGAGCTCTAAATCATTAGTCAAATTGAAACAATCTTATACCAAATAATTCATGTGCTTGATGACATTCGCATATTATTATTCTAGTTATATAAGCATGCACACCGTATCATAACTCACTTTGAACAGCAATAGCGCTTATATGTAATTTAAGATTAAAATGCAAAAACCCTCCTTTAAACAAAATGAGAAATACCTTATTTATTTTAGATAAGTACTAAACATGAAAGAAAAAACCTATCATATTCAGGAAGAAATTAATGCGTTCATAATGCATTGCGATTTTGTTTTTTTACAAAATATTATTTTATGTGCTAGCTGTTGAAATAACTTATTTTATATTTTAAATACGAGGAATGTTATCCTTACAACTTTTTACAATTATATTTTAACCATTGATTTTCACCAATTAACGTGTTTAATACTTTTGCTTTTATTATCGAAATTTTTTTTCAGTCACATTTGGATCCCACTATGAAGAAAAGAGGTTATGTGTATGACAGACACATTTTTGTTATAGTAAAACAGAAATATTAAACCCTTTTAAATAATTTATAATCAAAATATTTTTTTTAAAAAAAATTAATCAAAACCAAGGGATCTTGTAAGAAAACACGATAGAGAATGCCTTTACTTTAAAAAAGCTTCTCTAGTGATTTACATTACAAAAAGTAATTTTGATCTCTATAAAAATTAGTTTTGCCTTCTTTGAATGTAAGAGGAAAATCATCTCCCTCTAAAAGGAGGATTAATATCATCCTTTTTCCGTTAACAATGATTCACTGCATTATCTATTTCTACGAGGAGTTAATCTTATGGGCATATTCTGAGAACAAGGTGGATAGAAGAAGTTGTGAGACGATAATTACATGTTATTTAAAAAAAATAAAATAGTTTTGCCACTTCTTTCTTTATTTCTCTCATTTCGTAATACATAAAAAAGAAAACAAAAGTGGTTTCAAAGGATACTCTTATAGCTTATAAAAAAAAAAAAAAAAAAAAAACTCCTATAACCAACACTCGTTAGTTTGAGCGACGAAGAATTTGTTATCCGTTAAGTACGGTCTTAAATTCAAGTCTTAGAAAAGGAATAAACAAATTCCGGAAAAAGTAAAAGGAATAAACAAATTCCGGAAAAGCTTTGTTCTCATAGGTGGCTCTACTTGACTACGATTAGTGAGACCCAAAGATATTATTACATATTAGAAAAATAATGTGATATTTATTCAATAATTAAAATTTTGAATTAAATTGATTGTTTTATATAAAATCAGGGCTTTTCGACCGAGTGATTATGAATTTTATCTTTATACAATTAAATATTATAAAATTTCCTAATTAACATATGTAGATAAGCTTGTATATGTGTCACGCTTTCAATAAATTATTATAAAAGGTGGCACGGGAGCTTTTGACCTTTGACCGGGAGTTAAAATCTACATGGATATTTTTTTTTTGAAAGAACTCATCAGTCATCATCCTCTTCAATCATTTTATATCACTCTAACAGTTCTCATCATTGACATTGCACGGTGCATGTTAGAGAGGTTGTGATCCCACTATGTAAATTCAAATATTCTCTAGTAGGGAGCTTCCATACCCAAGTCCAATCGCCGCCAAGGTTAGTTGTGCACTTATGTCGGGATAGAACCTAATAGCGGTCATTAGAAAAATCGATGGTTTGAGGTGGTGTATGTATAAGAACAATTTTGATATGGGCAAACTATGTCTTTAGGAACAAATAGTACTCAAATTAGTTAATTGACCTTGATCCCAAAGGTCTTGTACTTGCAAGTAGTTGGTGAAGTTGCATTTAATTTGAATTTTGAAGCACAATCCAAAATGATCTGTCACCATTACCAACATATATATTTGTGCGCAAGCAGGATCACCCAAATTTTGTTCCTATTATTTCGAAGGTTCCAAACAAGCTTTCCAAGAATACAAATATTCACAAGCTAGCTATTCCCACTTTTAATCCGCCATGACGTTTTTGGGCTGGTAACCTTTATCCTAATTTACCAAGTGATGCCCCCCAAGAATAGTCTCTATGACCATATAAAAACCTACGAACCATCCCATCAATAGCATCAAATATGGATTGATGATGATGCCAAAACATCTGTATGGTATGTTTAGGAATTGAAGTGATCAATTAGTTAGTTGAAATGAGTCAAAGCATCCGAATAAATTATAATTAATCCTTACTCTCTCTTTTTTATTTTATCAAAACAAGTAATATATAGAATATTATTAATTCCAAAGATTTGGTTGTAAATAAGGGCTTAAACTCAAATGAAATAAAAAAACAAAATTATTAATGGATGTACTATTTTTTATCAAAACAAATATTTAGAACCTTATTAAACATAAACAATCAGATTGAAGTATGTGATTTTATTAAACACAATTGTCTTTACCTTTCTCATAATGAATTGCACAATTTATTAAATATTAAAATACACATGCAATTTAAAAGAGTATGTTATGTATTGTAAACTTACTTCCTTTTGTGGGAGGAAATATCTCAACCAATTCAGTCTTCGAATCAAGACGTGCAAGATTATCTTGTAAGGAAAAAAAAAAAACTTATCTTTCTTTGCCTCCCATCCACCTTCAATTCAGTTTTTTTATGAGAGGATTTTTTAATTTAATTTAATTTAATTTTTAATTTTAACAAGGGCGTTGGTTTCAATTTGGGGCCATACTCTTACGGCGTGTTTGGTACTTGAAAAATTTTGCAATCTCCGAGAAATTTTGCTTGGAGAAGTAACAACTCCATGTTTGGTACCAAAAGTTTTTATCCTTTTCAGAACGAATATATTTCCTGACAATGTCTTTTATGTGCAAAATTTTGTGCGTTCAAGAGCTAAATAGTTTCATAGATTAAATGGACCTTTTTGGTACTCGAGAAGTTTCAAATTAACGCAAAAAATGTGACGAAATTAACCTTACTTTTGGTACGATCTGTCTGAAAACATTTTTGAATCAAAAGATAAATGTGAAGTTATTTTGATAAAATAACATCATATTCCTACTAATAATTCATAACCAACCAAATACATACTCAGTAAAATAACTTTTATTTTTCTAAAAAAATATGGGTCTACTAAACAACTTTTTAGTAATATTTCAGTAAAATATATTTCACGCTACATTTCGATAATAATTATTTTCCAGATAAAAAAAAATTTCACTTCGCTCCCTTAGTCTCCACGGTTTGATTACGGGACTCACCGTACCAAAAATATTATTCCCTTATCTCACCATCAGGAATGCATTGAATTACTGACATGGATGGGAGCAACAATTCTGAGATTACACTTTATGCACAATAAAATTTTTTTACCTCATAAATACCCCATTCTCTCGCATAGAAGGAACTTTTATACTTCTTTTCATAACTATCATGTTTGTTTGTGCTCATACTCAGCATAATCTGAGTCCCTAGTACACTCTTCCCTTTTACTTTCCTAATCCAAAATTAGCCCCATTTGTATAAGCTAGCATGGCTCGTTTTGTCCACACTATAGTTCTCTAACCAATTACATATTGATTATTTCAACCCCTTTATAGGTTGAAACCTCATTTCTCATATCTACCTGACATAATTTCCTTAATTTGAGATTGTACGATATATGTGCTTATAATTTTGTTATTTCCTAGAAAGACACGAGACATTAACCTTTTTTTTTTCGATTTTTTTTACATCCTACGTGTGACATTAACTTACTAACAATTATTCTTTTTTTATGGAGAAAAGGTGGATTCATTAAACATTTTACCAAATAACCAAATAATTATTTTTTTATAACAACATGGGTTTTGTTGTTTTTTTTTCTTTCTCAGTATTTTTATTGTAAGGAATTAATACAATGTAGTTGCTAATTTTCGGGGTATAAAAGCGGCACCTGTCCTGACTCGTAGGAAAAAAAAAAAAACCAAAAAGACAAAGAAATGGTATTTAAAAATCGAGAAAAATACAGTTATTTTAGTTAAAATTATTATTTATAATTTAATATTTAAATTAAAAAATTATTATTTTCTCCAATTATAATTTGTGTTTTTTTTTACTATAAAACATAATAATTTTAATTAAAAAGATATATTTTTATATTCTTTAAAGAAATGCTAATCCCTTAAAAATCAAGGCGCATCAATTTTGATCCGGTGGGCGGAGATATTAAGGGGGAGATATTTGTTGTTGTCCACAAAATTAGAAAGAGAAAAAAAGAAAATAAAAGAAGAAATGAATCAAATGCTACAACTGAACAGTGAACACTTAATTACTAGGACGCCGACTTTTTACTAATAAATCGGCAAGGCCATTTCCGCGAAGCCCCACACTCGCTGTCTCTTGTAAAATTAAATTCAAATGCACTCGAAATAAATCCCAAACCCAAATTCACAATCTCTCTGATTAAACAAGCTATATTCCTGTCTTTCTCTTTCTCTCTGTGTGTGCGAGCGCGTGCTTCTCTCTCACCACTACCAGTGCCATTCCATTCCTTCAACCCCAAAACTAAAGGATTTGTGTTTTAACTTAAATCGGTGAATGAATCTGTGGACGGACGACAACTCCTCCGTGATGGAGGCCTTCATGTCCTCCTCCGATCTCTCCTCCATCTGGCCAACGCCGGCGGCCGCTTCGCAACCCGCCACCGTCTTCAACCAAGACACCCTCCAGCAACGCCTCCAGGCACTCATCGAGGGTGCCAGGGAGAGCTGGACCTACGCCATCTTCTGGCAATCCTCCTACGACTACTCCGGCTCCTCCCTCCTCGGCTGGGGCGACGGTTACTACAAAGGCGAAGAAGACAAAGGCAAAGCCAAGGCCAAGGCCAAAGCCACCACCATCGCCGAGCAAGACCACCGCAAGAAGGTCCTCCGCGAGCTCAATTCCCTCATCTCCGGCTCCTCCACAGCCTCCGACGAAGCCGTCGACGAGGAGGTCACCGACACCGAGTGGTTCTTCCTTGTCTCCATGACTCAGTCCTTCGTCAACGGCGGCGGGTTGCCGGGTCAGGCTTTCCTAAACTCCACCCCTGTTTGGGTCACCGGCGGCGACCGACTCTCGTTGTCGGCGTGCGAGAGGGCGAGACAGGGGCAGGTGTTTGGGTTGCAGACCCTGGTGTGCATACCGTCGGCGAATGGAGTGGTGGAGCTGGGGTCCACCGAGCTGATTTACCAGAACACGGATCTGATGAACAAGGTGAAAGTACTCTTCAATTTCAACAACAACAATAACCCTGACGTGGCTTCATCGTGGCCGTTGAATGCTAGCACCGCCGATCAAGGCGAGAACGACCCTTCCTCGCTCTGGCTCAACGATCCTGAGATCAGGGATTCCGTCAACACCGTAGCTGCCACTCCTTCAGTTTCAGTTCCAAACCATAATAACAATCAGGGAATTGCGAAAACTATGCAGTTCGAAACCCCAGGTTCAAGTACCTTAACAGAAACCCCTAGTGCGATTCATGTCCCGAACACTGTCACTCATCATCAGAACCAGCCATCGCAGAACCAGAGCTTCTTCACCAGGGAATTGCAGTTTTCCGAATACGGCTTCGAAGCGAAGAATGGAAACAACCAGCATTCTCTGAAGCCCGAATCGGGTGAGATTCTGAGTTTCGGAGAGAGCAAGAGAAGCTCTTACGGCGCAAACGGAAATTCCCATTCCCATTTCTTCTCGGGTCAGTCTCAGTTCGTTGCTGCTGCTGCTGACACCACCACCACCACCACCAACAACAACAATAAGAGGAGGTCGCCGAATTCGAGGAGCAGCAACGACGACGGAATGCTATCCTTCACCTCCGGCGTGATTCTGCCGGCGTCGAATATGAAATCCTCAGCCGGCGGCGGCGGCGGAGGAGATTCGGACCATTCGGATCTGGAAGCTTCTGTGGTGAAGGAGGCTGATAGCAGCAGGGTTGCTAGGGTGGCGGATCCGGAAAAACGACCAAGAAAAAGAGGGCGAAAGCCGGCCAACGGAAGAGAAGAACCGTTGAATCACGTTGAGGCGGAGAGGCAGAGGAGAGAGAAGCTGAACCAGAGGTTCTATGCGCTTCGCGCGGTGGTTCCGAACGTGTCGAAGATGGACAAAGCATCGCTTCTGGGTGACGCGATATCTTACATCAATGAGCTGAAATCAAAGGTTCAGAACCTTGAATCAGATAAAGATGGAATTGAGAAGCAACTAGATGCAGTCCAGAAGGAACTCGAGAAAACCAGGGAAAACTCTCCCCCTCCTCCTAAACCTGATAAATCATCATCGTCATCAAATAACGTTTTGATTGATTTGGAGATTGACGTGAAGATTATTGGTTGGGATGCAATGATTAGGATCCAATGCAGCAAGAAGAACCATCCCGCGGCAAGGTTGATGGCGGCTTTGATGGAGTTAGACCTTGACGTGAACCATGCCAGCGTGTCAGTGGTGAATGATTTGATGATTCAACAGGCAACCGTTAAGATGGGAAGTCGTTTTTACACGCAGGAGCAGCTTCGGTCAGCACTGTCGTCCAAAGTTGGTGATGCCCAATAGCTTTGCATTCTGTGCCATTGGGATACGTTATATGTCCTATCATATGTTTACACTGTTGTTCCTCTTGTTGTGGGGGCTCTGGGATATTTTAAGGCTTCCCGGTAGCAGTCTCTGTAAAATAAATTTCTTTTTGGTAGCTTAGTCTGAATGAACTAGAACTAGCTAGGGACAATTTTCATCAAATCTGTTGGCGGAGTTAATTAGGTACCTCTGGTGAAGTCAAAATAGCCGTATTCTTATCTGTCTAGATTGTACATGTATATATTTATTATATATATATATTGTCATAAATGTGAACATCATGAATTTTCTGAAGATTATTCTTCGGCTTATCACCGATTTCGTGCATTGCAGCTATATATGCTAATTGTGAGTGAATGGTTTTCATATTTGGGTTTTCGTTCGAGTATGCACTATGCACCTTATTATCGCTCAACCAAAGAAGAGGATATTTTCAGAATCTCTGCCATCTGATAAAGTTCTTTTGTGTTTTGGCTGTCTGATTGATCTATCATTTCAAAAGTTTGATGCTTTTTTTTTTTGTGTGTGATGGAGTTGATCGTTGGTTGTCTGTATTTGGGAACCAAAATTTGGTTTCTGCTTTGAGTTGATGGATCCTTTAAAGCCATGTGAAAAATGCATACCAGCAGAAAAAGCTTCCCCCGTCTCTATCTTTATGTTGGTGATAATTATTTTTGAGCGTATGTGTCTTTGCCAAGTTTTGAAGTTTTTGACTTGCTCGCACTAATGGACTTCTTGCTTATTTTTCCCATCTGATAAGCCTGTTTCTTTAGTTATGACCCCACCATCTTTGGCAATGAAAATGTTGGCCAACATGCATGGCAGGATTAAGGTTAAAAAAAAAACCAAACAGGATATTGAATGCAACTTTAGTCTAAAGTTGTCATAGTACGAGGCTCTGGTATGTTTGTATTTGTGGAATCTGAATCACCGGTAATGCGCAATGATAGACAGCAGTCCACCATTGGAAAGCTGGTTGTTCTTTTTCTCTTTAACCTCCATTAAAATATCGTGGAATCGGAAGCTGGTTTTGATGCGTTAACCAACTACTTCTGCAATGTCAAAATGTTGGCCTTGCGTATTCTAATTTAGGGATATGATGAGATTTTGATACAAATTAGGCTCAAATTATGATAAAAACTTCTAAATATATCAAAACCTTTGATGTTGTATTGGTCACTGTAAGACCGTTATTGTTTGGATTTGATTCATGTACCATCCAGTCGAATGTTGCCATTTGTAAGGAAGATAATATTGCCACGGTTAATGGAGGCTTTTACTGTGTTAATGCTTTATCCAATTTTCCATGTATGGGCGTCAACTGTCTTCAGCTTTTAACGGATTTAATACCATAGGTGATTAGTCCCTTTCCTTCTATTGGGTTGAGTTGTGAAATCAACTTTCTCCTTTAATGTCTTAGCAAAGGCATAGGGTGTTAAAATAAATGCTTTGCAGTGCAAGTCTAGTGCATTGAAAGGAGGAGTTCAAGCCAAAAGTATACATCGGGCTTTTCTTATCAGAGGGAAAGTAATGACTGATTCTTTATTATGAAAAGTGAAGATACAAATGTGAGTTACATTATTAACACAGTATCCTATATACTGACTGATACAGAAAGGTGAAAATAAGAAAGTTGGTTATATAACGAACAGTAACTGACTAAAAACTAATTCATATCACTTATAACTGATTCAAGCCAAAAGTATACATCGGGCTTTGCCAAAACAGACGCAGGAGGTTGCATTATACAAGACCATCCATGGACTAAAGAAACCGGATAAAGGAACCGCTATATCTGAACGCACATGATGGGAATTGTGCAGTTGTTATGAATGACTTTCGGTTTTCACTTATGTTGTGGAATAGAACCTCAATTTATGGTTGTACTCTCTTATTTAAAAATAAAAATAAAAAAATTCTTGTATACACTTTTGGTTCCCTGAGTTTTACCAAACTCAGAAGTCTTAATTTAAGCTTCTTACATCTATTGTCCTAAAGTTGAATTCTAAACTTTTGAATTGGTGCGAGTAAATTCTATCTATATTGTTAACCCCCATCACTATGGTCCATTTACAAACTTCAGTGATGATTTTCCAATTGAGTTGTGATAGGCAGCCAAGGAAAAATAATGCCTAGTTTACATAAAAGTTATACAAATATTTTTAGATAACTTAACTTCAAAGAGTCATGCCCCACAACACAATTATATATATAGAATGATACAGAGATGTGATGGAAGAGGGAGAGAGCAAAGAATGGCAAGTGGATAGCCGTACCTATAGATAGGAGTGTGATTAGAGATAAGCGATACCGGACAGTGTTCTTTTACACACAATAAATACGTGGATTCGACTGAATTTTTTTTTTCTTTCCTTTTGTCAATGGGATCCATTAATTTGTTGTGTGTGTATATAGGAAAAAAATATTTTCTCATTTGACATGAGAAGATATTACCCAATTAATATATACACATATAAAAAAAATAAAAAAATGCCATGGCCAGGCAACAGGAAATCCCACGCTGATGCAAGAGATTGCTTGCTTTAGAGAGAATTGAGGAGCTTGATTTTTCCCCTCTTTGTTATTCAATTAATATTATGAGATAGAGACGTATCATATTTATATCATTATTGGGGTTTATTTTCCCCCTTGTGATAAAAGATGCTTTGAATGCCTTAATAATGATTTGAATAAACGTTAGTTGAACTCAATAAGAGCAACTGTCAATATGTTTACTATATAAAACAAAGTGGTTAAGTAATATTAAGCTAGAATGAAACGTGATTAAATGATAAAAGAAGACAAAATCTTAGGATGGAGGACATCAAGATATATTTTTATGTCTATCTCTATCACTTTCTTTTAGGGAGAATGTAAATAACAAATCTAACTAAAAATAAAAATAAAACATGCAAATAAATTAAAAGTGATGTGGATTCAACCAATGATCAATACTCTAGGATCAACACTTCATTATAACTATCAAATTATTCTTCATCTATATTCCAATACGTTCTTAAAAGTGGTTTATCTAATTGTAATTAGTTATTTCTCTCTAATAAAAGAAAATGTTAGAATTAATATAATGCCCAAACTCTAGAGTAGTATTTGTGTTAATTAAAAATCATTAAGCTTTTAATTTACTCCTCAAAGGATTTAGCCCATCCCTAGGTCTAAGATTCTTAGGTTTAATTCCATGATTTTCCAATATTACACTTTATGTCTTGATCCTTCATATAATACCTAAAACCTTGCAAATATGGATATGGACATATCACATGCATTAAAAGAGTTACATCCTATTCCTAGAAAAGGGATCTATCCTCTTTTATAGACATTAAAAAGCACATGAATTACAAAAATACAATATCAATCATGAACCTATCTTGGCAATGAAGGAAAATAGTTAAAAGGAAGTGATGTATCCAGATTTATTTGATGGACCTTTGCATTTTCCAATCTGCTTCAGTTCTGGATCTCAATATTGATAGCTTCCTAGAAGCTCTCTAGTCATTAACTTATTGCCACAAACAGTTTTTTTTCTCTTATTTTTTCTCTTAATATTTATAAAAGATGTGCTATAAGTTGTTAGATTAGGTCAAAGAGTCCTTTCAGGTGTGTAACTTATTCATCTCTTAATAAGGATTTCAATCTTTATTAGAAGCCTTATCAAACTAGAATTTTTGTTTATTTTGGAGTAGTCCGGTTATTTTTTCCCTTCTTTTCGTAGGAACCTTGGACCTAGTAAAAAAATGTTTTTATAACTCTATACCATATAAAGTGATAACTCTTAATTAAAAATGTAAAAAAATATATATTTAAGCATCAAACAATATGGAATTAATCATTTTTTTGAGAGAGATGAGTGAAGAGAGAGAAACCGGCAAGGAGGCGAGAGATGCTACGGCGGAGGAAGAAGATATTCTCCATCGAAGCACAAAAAAACCTAAAGGCCCTGCTATGGAAGATCAAACTATGGATGATCACATGGCATAGGAGGATATCCAGGTGAATGTGACTAGAAACGGGGGAAAAAAGAAGGAGGAGTCAGGTGATTCATCTAACAGGAAGTTGGTGTCATATAAAGATTCTCTTCTTGGTTTTAATGGAGGACCCCATGCTGCTGATAGCGATGAGGAAGATTGGATAGAAAAACTACGTAAGGAAGAGGACGAAGAAGAAGGGGATGAGGTCTTTGTTACGGTTGATGGTGAGGAGGATCCTCTTTGCCCAACGTACTCTTTTCCAAAAGCCTTGCATTTAGAAGGTTGCAGAACTTGGAGACAGGCAGTGATTGTGAAACTTCTGGGGAAGAAAGTTGGAGTTAGATTCTTACTCAATCGTTTACTGAGAATGTGGAATATCTCAGGCACATATGAGTTCATTGATCTGGAGAATGACTACTTTTTGTTCCGATTTTCCAATAAGAATGATTACTCTCATGTTTTGGAGGATGGTCCTTGAATCATAGCTTATCATTATGTGGTAGTTCAACGGTGGCGTCCCTTTTTTAATCCTTATGATGATGAGATCAAAAAGCTGGCAGTTTGGATTCATATTCCAGGACTTCCTATTGAATTCTATACCTCTCATCATTTGTGGAATATAGGTAGTATTTTTGGTCGCACATTGAAGATTGATAGGAACTCTATCAGGAAACGTGATTCTGGTGAAGGAGATATTACAGAGAGAGCAAAGTTTGCTAGAATTTGTGCCGAAGTTGATCTTAGGAAAGACTTTTTGTCCAAATTTCGAATTGCTGATCGTATCTTCCACGTTGGATATGAGGGTCTCCACTTAGTTTGTTTTGCTTGTGGAAAGTATGGGCATAGAAGGGATCAGTGTTCCCATAGTAATCTTCAACAAGATATTACAGCTTATTCTCTTGAAGTTTCTGACTCGGTGGTGCATAAACAGCCGGAAAAAGATTATGTTCCGGTGAAGGAGGAACCGTTTGGGAATTGGATGCTGGTGCAGCGTAACCGTCGATCAAGGAGCATAGCAAAATCAAAGGAGGAATCAAGGAGCATAGCACAATCAAAAGAGGAATCATTACCATCAGGTAGGAGACAAGTTGGCGTTGTTAATAATGCAGCGTTACGTAATAAGGCAGTTTCCAATTCTGATCCTAATCACAGACATGTCATTCAATCAGGTTCAAGATTTCAAGCTATTGCTGAGTTGGCTCAAAAGGATAATAATATCTTAATTATTTTCCATTCTCCAGTGATTGATTCAATCAACATTGAATCTGGTCTGACACGAATTAATCATGGGGAATTAATTGCTCATAATGAAGAACCGTTGGTGAAAAAGGATATTCAAATGGAAACAGTTTCTCCATCTGCTAACCTATCCGCGGGCAAGTCGAGAAAAGAGGTCCAAAGTCAAGGAGTAAAATTCAAAGAGAACCAAAAGAAGAAAGCAGCTGCATCATCTGCTAAAGTTCATCAGCTGGTCCAGAATGCTAATATTAGCAAAGGCAGATTAAATGCTTCAAAAGGTGCAGAATCTCAAAAGTATAATTTTAAACTTGATTCTCAGAAGAATATGTCGGAGGATTTCCAAGATAGACAAATTGTCTTGCACCCTTCTTTTTCTAAATTCCAGAGGAAGACGTCTCATGTGGTTAATGATCAGTGAGAGACTCTTCCTTCTTCTAGTGGCTTGGATAATGGAGGTAAACATGGAAGACCACCAGATGCTCTTACGTTAATGAGGAATTTTTATCAAACTCACAAGGATTCTATTCCTTTGGATAATTTGGACGTTTTGGGTGCGACTTCGGTCTATACCAATGCTCTTTCTTAGGGTCGGTCTCTGTTCGGATAAATTTAAGATTATTTTTATGAATATTTTAACCTGGAATTGTAGAGGGGTTGGGAAAAGGAGTTTTCCGCCTCTGATTCGGGATCTTTCTCATAGATTCAGTATTAAAGTTATGGCTTTGTTAGAAATCAGATTGAGTGGTGTTATGGCGGATAGAGCTATTCGGCGTCTTGGTTTTTCTGGTCACTTTCATCGTGATGTTGTTGGTTTTTCTGGCGGTATTTGGGTGCTTTGGAACACTGATGAAGTTTCAGTGGATGTTCTTTTTTCTCATCACCAACTTGTTCATACTAAAATTTGTTGGGTAAAAGAAAATAGAGAGGAGTTCATGACTTTTATTTATGCAAGTCCGCGAAGACAGGAACGTATTCAGCTGTGGGAAGTTCTGTCTTCACTGTTTGATCAGTCCATGAGGAATGCGACTTGGGGGATAGCAGGTGATTTTAACACTTATTTGTATGAGTATGAGAAGCTAGGTGGTAATGGGCATAACTGGAATAGCATGAGGGAATCTTGTGATTGTTTAGATGAATATAGCTTGTCTGACATTGGCAATCAAGGTCCTATTTTCACTTGGCAAAGAAGAAATCTTCAGGAATGTCTTGATAGGGTTCGCGCTAATGATAATTGGAACTTGGTTTTCCCTAACCGTGTGGCTTTCAACTTGCCTTTCTTTGGCTCAGATCATCGACCAGTATTATTATGGGAAGGTCAACCTGCTATTTATCCGAGAGGAGAGCGTCTTTTCCGTTTTCTAGCGTCCTGGTTAACAGAGAGCACTTTTCATGAGGTGATTAATGGATGTTGGTCAAACAATGTAAACTGGATGCATGCTATGGAGACATTTCTTATTAATGCTTCAGAATGGCATAGAAATGTTTATAGGATTTCTCTGAAAAGAAAGAATGATTTGCATGCAAGGATTATAGGTATTGATAGATGTCTTAGTTATCAGTACAGTCATAGCCTTGAGATGTTGCAAAAGGATCTATGGAGGGAACTAGACAAGATTTATCTTCAAGAGGAAATCACTTGGTTTCAAAGATCGAAATTGAATTGGTTTGCTCTTGGAGATAGGAACTCGCGTTTCTTTCATTCTGTGACGGTTGCCAGACGTAGGAGGAATCACATAGATACGTTGAAAAACTCGGAGAGAGTTTGGATTGGTGATCAGCAGGTTTTAATGGAAATGGTTGTTTCCTTCTTTGAAAATCTGTACACAAAAGATCCATTATCTAAACCGGCTTTTCCAGTTCGTGGTTTTTTCCAGTTATTGAAGCGCATGCTTTAGACACGATGAGTATTATGCCAAACAGTAAGGAGATCAGAGATGCAGTCTTCTCTTTTGGTCCATACAAGTCGCCTGGGAAGGATGGGCTTAATGCTCTTTTCTTTCAATCTCAGTGGGATAAGGGGGTGAGTCAGTTATCTCTTTTGTGAAAGGTGTGTTCCTTCATCCGGATAATATCAAAGAGGTTAACCAAACTTTGATTTGTCTGATTCCTAAGATTGATGTTCCTGAATTACTTAAAGATTTCAGACCTATTAGCCTTTGTAATGTTATTTACAAGACTGTAACTAAGATTGTGGCTAAGAGGTTGAAATCTCATATGGCTCACTTGGTTATGCCTAATCAATGTGGTTTTATTAAGGGTAGACAAGGAGCGGATAATATCATTGTGGCTCAGGAAATCATCCATTCCATGAATAAAAAGAGAGGAGGTAAGGGTTGGATGACTGTCAAAGTTAATTTAGAAAAGGCTTACGATAAGATTTCTTGGGAGTTTATGAAAAACACGCTTGTGGATGTTGGTTTGCTTGAGAATATTATTTCTCTGATCATGTGTTGTGTCTCGTCATGTACAATGAATTTGTTATGGAATGGATCAACTACGACAGAATTTTCTCCTAATCAAGGTCTTCATCAAGGAGATGCTTTGTCTCCTTATCTTTTCATCCTTTACATGGAAAGACTTGCTCATTTGATTAATGTAGCAGTTCAGGAGGATGTTTGGAAGCCTATCAGATTGAATAGAAGGGGACCATAGCTTTCCCATCTATTTTTTGCAGATGATCTTCTGCTCTTTACAGAAGCCACAGAAGGGCAAGCTGTTATTATTAATAAGATTCTGGATTGTTTTTGCAGGTGCTATGGTGAGAAGGTTAGCAAGGAAAAAACAAAAGTCTTCTTCTCCAGGAACGTTAATCATACCCAAGTGCAGAATCTAAGCCAGTTGATGGGCTACTCTCCTATAAATGACTTGGGTAAATACTTGGGTATTCCTCTTCGTCATAGCCGTGTTACAAAGAGTACGTTTGGCTATATCTTAAATCGAATGCAAGCTCGTTTAAATGCCTGGAATCAACGTACTCTTTCATTGGCAGGAAAATCAACTTTGGCTAGGTCAGTTCTTACTGCAATTCCTCAATATCCTATGCAAACTTGTATTATTCCTAGTGGTACGTGTGATCGTATTGAGAGTGTAACTAGAAATTTCATTTAGGGATGAACTTCTGAACGAAGGAAAGCTCACCTGGTTTCTTGGGAGACGGTTTGTTTGCCGAAGAATGTAGGGGGGCTCGATTTTCGTAAAATTAAAGAGAATAATATGGCTTTTATCATGAAACTAGGTCACCGTATCATGACTGATCGTAATTCCTTATGGGTTCGGGTCCTTCGTAGCAAGTATAAGGTGGAGGAGAGGCTTATTCCTAGTATCTCGGCTTCAGCAAATGATTCTGGTTTATGGAAGACTATTGTTAAGTATTGGCCTCAAACTCTAGAGAATTCTCGTATCATTTTAGGGGATGGGGTTCATACGCCTTTTTGGATGGATTCATGGGTGCCAGGGTGTCCTCAACTTGTTTCTCTGGCCGTTCAACCTATTCCTCCTACTATGACTCATTGGTCTACGTCTCAATTTGTAACTTGTTATGGTAATTGGGACTGGCCTTTATTCCAGCACCTTCTTCCTACTTCAGTATTAGACAAGATTCGTAGTGTGCTCCCTCCTACAGTGGATCCTTCTCCGGACCGTGTTATTTGGGCAGGTAGCCAAGATGGGTGGTTTTTTCAGTGAAATCAGCTTATAACTATCTCATGGGTACCTCATGTTGGGCTTCCTCCTTCAATGCTAAGCCCAAGCCCATTTGAGGGGTTTCCTAAAAAACCCTAACCCTAATTTCCACCTCCTCTATATATACTCATTAGTTGTGGGTGGAGGCTAGGTCAGATTTGAGAGAACAAATTTGAGAGAATTATTTGATTGTTTGAGCAAAAGCTTTATGCTTTGCATTTGAGAGATCTCTAGAGAGAGTTTGAGTGAAACATCTCTAGGGTAGTTTGATTATCACCATTGTTGGAGAGGTTGAGTTAACCACCACATTGGTGTATTTGATTCGTTGTAACCATTATTTTCATAGTGGATTTCTGATCTGGACTAGGTCCCGTGGGTTTTTACTTCTTCATTGGAGAAGGTTTTCCCACGTTAAATCTGGTTGTGTTCTTCTTCTCTCTCTCTCTTGTTTTCGTTTTGATTTTTCCGCTGCGCTGCCTGACCTGGTGAAGTTCAGGCCGAGGTATTGCCGAGATCCGAGATCAGGATCTTGTTGATTGACTTCCGCACAAAGGCCCCTGAGCCGAGCTTGAGGGAACCGAGTTTTCCCAACAGTGGTATCAGAGCCCGGGTTCGACGGGTTCTGAGGGAGACGAGATGGAGACCAGTGGCATAACTCATGATGAAGATATGTTCAAGTTGACCGCAGACAATTTCATATATTGGAGACCGATGATGGAAGATCATCTCTACTGCAAAGATTTGCATGAGCCCATTATCCTTGATGAAAGACCGGCAGGCAAGACAGGTAAGGAGTGGGAGATCCTGAGTCGGAAGGCGGTAGCCACGATCAGGAAATATATTGATAAAAGCCTCTTTGAGCACGTGTCCGAATTCATGAACGCGTATGAGTTGTGGACGAAGCTGGAGTCCATGATTCAGAAGAAGACTCCCAGGAACAAAGCACACCTGGTTCGCCGACTTGTTAAGCTTGAATACAAGGACGGCATGAGCATGATTGAACACCTGAACACCTACAAAGGTATTGTGAATCAGCTGTCAAAGGCAGATATGAAAATTGATGAAGAATTGCAGGCATTGCTGCTGTTGAGCTCGCTGCCAGAAAGCTGGGATACTCTGATGGTGACCCTGAATAACTCGACTCCAGATGGAAAATTGAAGATGGATGTCGTGACAGACAACCTCCTGGGCGAAGAATCCAGGAGAAGAGAACGAGGTACTTCGAGTACGTCTGAGGCCAACGTTGCTGAGAACAAAGGGAAATCTGACTCCCGGGGTAGAAGTAAAAGCCGCGGTCGAGATCGAGATAGAAGAGAAAAGTCCAGAGGTCGGTCAAAGCCAAAATACGAGTTAAAGTGCTTTTACTGTGGAAAGACAGACCACAAGAAGCCAGACTGCTGGACCCTGCAGAATGATGAGAAGAACGGCTCTGTGAAGCCGGATCAGATTATTCCCAAGAAGAGGGAAGTCAAGAGCACCACTGCAGTGGCTGCCAACTCAGATGCCGAGATATTCCTCCTTGGTGAGGATAATTATTTGAATGTTGCATATGATGACTGCACCTGGATTGTTGACTCTGGTGCCTCCTTCCACGTTACTCCACACAAAGGTTTTTTCTCCTCTTATCGAGGTGGTGATTTTGGAGTCGTGAAGATGGGAAATCAGGTGACCAGCAAGATTGTTGGTGTCAGTGATGTAACTCTGACCACAGATGTCGGATGCCGACTTGTGTTGAAAGATGTAAGGCATGTTCCTGACATGCGTTTGAACCTAATCTCGGTAGGCAAACTTGATGATGTCGGGTTAGTGAACTACTTCGGTAGTGTTAGATGGAAGTTAGCCAAGGGAAACTTAGTCGTGGCCCGAGGTAAGAAGGAAGACTCCTTGTACGTGATGCAAGGAAAGATCAATGGCGGAGAAGCCAATTCTGTTCGAGATGAACCTAGCTTGGAGCTATGGCACAAGCGCCTCGGCCACATGAGCGAGAAAGGGCTACAGATCCTGAACAAGAAAGGATTACTGACTGGGTTGAAAGGCCAAGCGTTGGAGAGTTGCACACACTGCCTAGCTGGAAAGCAGCACCGAGTTTCTTTTGTGAGACCGGATCAACCAAGACGACGCAGGTATATTCTTGACCTCGTCCATACTGATGTCTGCTCCATGTCGGAAAGATCCCTTGGAGGAGCTCAGTACTTTGTTTCATTTATTGATGACCATTCCCGCAAAGTGTGGGTATATTTGTTGAAGTCTAAAGACCAGGTACTCCAATCCTTTAAAGAATTCCATGCTATGGTTGAAAGGGAGACTGGCAAGAAATTGAAGGTGGTCCGATCTGATAATGGTGGTGAGTATTGCGGCCCATTTGATGCATACTGCAGAGCGGCCGTGATTCGACTTGAGAAGACGCCCCCCAAGACTCCACAGTTGAATGGACTGGCTGAGAGGATGAACAGAACTATTGAAGAGAAGGTCTGAAGCATGTTATCCAATGCCGGATTGCCGAAATCATTCTGGGGAGAAGCCGTCAAAACAGCCGTTGACTTGATCAACCTCTCACCGTCACGACCACTTAAGGAGAAATTCCAGAAGAAGTCTGGACAGGTCGGAAAGCGGCCTACAATCAATTGAAGGTGTTTGGATGCCGAGCTTTCGTGCATATCCCTAAAGATGAAAGGGCAAAACTTGATGCAAAGACCAAAGAATGCATTTATCTTGGTTCGCCGAGATGTGAGTTCGGGTTCCGACTTTGGGATCCAATCAATAAGAAGATCGTGAGAAGTCGAGATGTGATCTTTCATGAGCATGAGAACATTCATGACATCTCGAAGCCCAAAGTCCGGGTTACTGTCAGACGTGAATAACCCATCCCTCCTGTCCGAGCTGAAGCAGGGGGAGAAAATCAAGAAAATGAAGAAAATGATGATCAGCAACAAGCTGATAATGACCAAGACACTGAGGTCCGAGTTGATGATGAGATTCGGGATGAGAATGATGAACCGGGTTCTCAAGCTGAAGAACAGCCGAGATATCCAACTCGAGAAAGAAGACCCTCTACGAGATACCCATCGGATGAATACACCGTTGTTGCTGAAGACGGTGAGCCTCAGAGTTATGATGAGGCTGTGACGAGCTCAGAGAAAGAAGAATGGGAAAAGGCAATGCAAGACGAGATGAAGTCTCTGCACGAGAATCAGACTTATGAGCTGACCGAGTTGCCTAAAGGAAGACGAGCTTTGAAAAATAAATGGGTCTACAAGATTAAGAATGAAGAAAACGGGCAAAAGCCGAGATACAAAGCCCGGATTGTAGTGAAAGGCTGCAATCAGAAGAAAGGAGTTGATTTTGAGGAGATTTTTTCTCCTGTGGTGAAAATGACCTCGGTCCGAACCGTGCTAGCCATGGCGGCTTCAATGGACCTCGAGGTAGAACAAATGGACGTGAAGACGACATTTCTTCACGGTGACTTAGAAGAAGAAATATATATGGAGCAACCTGAAGGATTCTAAGCTCCAGACCAAGAAGACTTGGTATGTCATTTGAAAAAGAGCCTCTATGGCTTGAAGCAAGCACCTCGGCAGTGGTACAAGAAGTTTGAATCATTCATGACTGATCATAAGTTTGAAAAGACAGATGCCGACCACTGCGTATTTGTGAAGAGGTATGAGGCCGGAGATTTTTTGATCTTGTTGTTATATGTTGACGACATGCTTATTGTAGGGAAAGACAAATCGAGGATAGTCGCCGTGAAAAAGGCGTTGAGCTCGTCCTTCGCAATGAAGGACCTCGGCCCTGCAAAGCAGATTCTCGGAATCGAGATCATCCGAGATAGACAAAAGAAGCTACTGTGGCTGAGTCAAGGGAAATATATTGAGAAGATTCTGAAGAGATTCAGCATGGACAAAGCCAAAACAGTGAGCACCCCTCTAGCCGGACACATAAAGCTGAACCAGAAGCAATGTCCGAGATCTGATGAAGACAAAGATGAGATGATGAAGGTCCCGTACCAATCCGCCGTCGGAAGCTTGATGTATGCAATGGTTTGCACTAGACCCGACTTGGCGTATGCTGTAGGAATGGTAAGCCGGTATTTGTCAAACCCCGGCAAAGAGCACTGGGAAGCAGTGAAGTGGATCTTCAAGTACCTACGAGGTACGACCGACTTATGTCTCCGTTTTGGAGAAGGCAAAGCCGAGTTGCAAGGCTACTCAGATTCTGATTTAGGGGGAGACGCAGACTCGAGGAAGTCGACTACATGATATTTGATGAGATTTGCCGGAGGAGCTATCTCTTGGCAATCAAGACTTCAGAAATGTGTTGCACTATCGACAACTGAGGCTGAGTACATTGCCGCTACTGAGGCAAGCAAAGAGATGTTGTGGATGAAGAAGTTCCTCATGGAACTCGGCCATGATCAAGACAAGTACGAGCTGGGTTGTGACAATCAAAGCGCAATCCATCTTGCAAAGAATTCTACCTATCACTCCAGCACAAAACATATTGATGTGAGGTATCACTGGATCCGGGATGTGGTGGAAGGTGGAGAGCTCGAACTCGTCAAGGTGCACACTGACCAAAATTGGTCCGACATGATGACAAAGTCGGTTCTAGCAAGAAAATTTGAAGACTGCTGTGAAGGAGCCGGGTTGATGCTGAAGCCGACGCATTGAAGTCGGAGGGGGAGATTTGTTGGGCTTCCTCCTTCAATGCTAAGCCCAAGCCCATTTGAGGGGTTTCCTAAAAAACCCTAACCCTAATTTTCACCTCCTCTATATATACTCATTAGTTGTGGGTGGAGGCTAGGTCAGATTTGAGAGAACAAATTTGAGAGAAT